TGTATCCCCTACCCTGCAACCTGGGGCAACCAGAGCAGACTTACCATGTGGTGAGTAGGAAGAGGGATCAGGAACAGAACCTTTATCTAGGAAAAAAGAATCCCAGATGAATGTCTTCTCTCTTCACAGTAGATTATCGTCTTTTTTTTTTTTTTTTTGTAGTGTTAGGAATTGCTTCATATGTTAGATAACTGCTCTTCCACTGACTTATAGACTATGATTATTTTGTTGTGCGTTTTTTAAGATTTATTTTACTATTTTTAAGTGTGTGTGTGTGTGTGTGTGTGTGTGTGTGTGTGTATTTGCATGTGATTGCAGGTGCCTACTCCAGGAGAACTGAGACATCAGATGTTCTTTAGATGGAGTTACCTGGGGGCAGGGAATTGAACTTGGAACTTCAGTCCTCTGGAAGAGCAGTGTGCTGGTTAGTTTTCCTCAACTTGATACAAACTAGAGTCACCTGGAACAGGAAAACTCACTAAAGAATTTCCCAAATCAGATTGGCCTGTGACCACATCTGTGAGGCATTTTCTTAATCGCTAATTGATGTAGGAGGGCCCAGCCCACCATGGGTGGTGCCATTCCTAGGTAGGCAAGACTGGGCTGTATAAGAAAGGTAACTGAGGGGCTGGAGAGATGGCACAGCAGTTAAGAGCTGACTGCTCTTGCAGAGGACCTGGGTTAGATTCCCAGCACCCCCATGGTGGCTATGAACCATCCTTAACTCCAGTTCCAGGGGAATCCGATGCCCTCTTCAGACCTCCGTGGCATTGCACGACATGGGTGCACTCACATACATGCAGGCAATACACTCATACACATAAAATAAAAATAATAAATAAAATATTTAAAAAAGAAAGGTAATTGATCCCCCTATCTAGAAACATTTGAGAGGGAACTGGCACTGATTCTAGCCACTCCAATAGCTATCAAAGTGCCTGTAAACGAATCCTGAGTCCATCACTCTGAGTACAGCCTTGGCATACAAAAGAAAAATGAGGAGGAACCCAATAGAAAGATGCTTTTGGAAGCTCTCGTCAAGAAATCTCAGTGGACTCTGATATGAACAATTGAAATTTGCCCTGTTCTGGCTTTTTTCTGGTTCCCTGTCTAGAACTTGTAATGGTAACTACTCTTGCCTTTACTTCTCCTTCACATCTCCTATTCACCAGTCAAGGAGCTTCTTTTCTCACTACAGAGGAAGTCTTTTAGATAGACCCACTGAAGGGATACTCCAATTGCCTCACCCTGCGTCCTTGTTCAGCATGGAAGAAGGTAGAGTCGTCTGCATCCAATTCCCTATAGGCAATTTGGGTAACCTCTTCAGAGGATGGTGTTATAAGAACAGGAGGTAGGAATTGGCTAGGCAGTTAGGGTAAAAAGACCCCAAAGAAAAGTAGCCAGTTTCTTGGCTAAAAGCCAAAATGTCCTTGGGCCTCTTAGCAACATAGTCTGTTCCAAAGGCCAAAATGTCAAAAGTATTTGGGAGCTCTTATCTAATTCCTAAAAGATTTTAGTGTTACCTCTTCAGAGGCGGGCAATGTTAGAGTAGCAAAAAGCCCCAGGATGTAGCTCAGTGGGAGAGTACTTACAAAGAAAGAAAGAAAGAAAGAAAGAAAGAAAGAAAGAAGAAGAAAGAAAGACAAAGTTGTCAGGAAAAAGTGATGGGGAGATATGGGAGGTGTTGGAGGGGAGGGAGTGAGTGTGGATTTGATCAAAACACCTTATATGCATGTGTGAAATTCTCAATAAAGATTTTAAGTTAAAAGAAAGGTAACTGAGTAAGCCAGTGGGAGCAAACCAGTCAGCAGCACTCCTCCATGGTTTCTGCTTCAGTGCTGCCTTCAGGTTCCTGCCTTGGCTTTCCTTGATGATTGACTGTAAGCTGTAAGATGAAATAAACCTTTTCCTCCACAAGTTGCTTTTGGTCATGGTGTTTGTCATGTCAATTAAAAAAATTCCAAAGCAGAGCAAGCAGCAAGCACTCTTAACAGCTGAACCATCTCTCCAGGCTCTTGTTTTGTATTTTTGAGATAGGGTCTTTTGATGGACCCCAAGTTAGCCTTAAACTTGGATTCCTCAGCCTCCAAAGTGTTAGGATTATAGGTGTATACCACTATGCCCATGCCCATCTCCTGGCTGTGTGTGCTTTTTGAGGTGCAGCTAGCTTCTGCAGAGGGGAAATGATTTAACTCTTTGTTTTTCTTTCTTTCTTTCTTTCTTTCTTTTTTTCCTTTGGTCTTTTTGAGACAGGGTTTCTCTGTAGCCCCAGCTGGCCTGGAACTCACTATGTAGACCAGGCTGGCCTTGAGCTCACAGAGATCCACCGCCTCTGACTCCTGAGTGCTGGGATCAAAGGCGTGTACCACCATGCTGACTTATGATTTAACTCTTAAAGGACATGAAAAGATTTTGACTATTTCATAGAATCAATAATTTTAATAATTTATGCATAGGTGTGTATATGCCTAGGACTAACAAGTGATTGGTAAACTTTTTAACACAAAAGCCCTAAGTATAACTAGAAGCATAATTGGCAATCCTAGAGCATAGCTTAGATATCATCTGAGGGTTTTGAGGAGAGTGATTTGGCCCCAGAACAGGTTTGATGGGCCCTGGGAGAAATGATAAATTGATTTCTGATTACATCCATGAGCTTTGTTTATCTGCTGTATTGTTTTTTTTTTTTTTCTGGAAGCTCCAATAATTTCTTGTGGATATTCTGAGTTTTATAATAGCTTCACTCTGGCACAACAGGGTCCTGGAGAAGAGCCTGAGAAATTCAGTAAAGGGCATATACTGGAGTAGATAAAGACAAACACAGAGCCATTTATTCCAGATGGACTTCCCATCACTTCTGTCTCCTTTATCCATGACAGAGAGCCCACAGGATAAGTGCTGTTATGCTCTTTGAGATGAAATGGAAAGCAGAGATTTAGGCAGGTACTGACACTCACCACAGCAAGTGAAGGTGAAAGCCTGGCTTTCTCCCTCTCCAGCCCACCCTCTGCTCATCATATACCTTAGTACCTACTTGTGTCTATTGTGACTGAAAGAGGAGACAATGGATTTGTTCTATGCTAGTAAAGAGACATTTTAATTTTTTTAGAAATATTTTATTTATTGTTTCTTATTTTATGTGTATGAGTGCATTGTCTGCATATGTGTAAATGCAATGCCCATGGAGGTCAGAAAAAGGCATCAAATTCCCCTGGAACTGGGGCTACTGATGGTTGTTAGCCAGCATGTACATGCTGGGAATTGAACCCAGGTCCTTTGGAAGAACAACAAGTGTTATTTTTAAAAAAACTATTTTTATTTTATATATATATACATATATATATATATTTAATGTGTATGAGCATTATGCTTGCATGTATGTAAGTGCATCTGTGTTGTGCAATGCCTGCAGAGGACAGAAAAGGTGTCAGATCCCCTGGAATTGGAGTTACAGATGGTTGTTAGCTGCCATGTGGGTGCTGGAATTCGAACCCAGGTCTTCTGCAAGAGCAGCCAGTGCTCTTAACCACTGAGCCATCTCTCTAGCCCCAATTTTTTTTGAGGTAGGAGAGGAGTCAATCAAATTTACCAACACACATACTTTTGTCTGCTTCCTAGGCATCAACAGTGTTGCTTTCGAATGTCTGAAAGAGGCTTCTACTTATTATAGCCTAATCTGGTTTCTGCTAAGTGTTTATTTTTAACCTTTTTATTTAGTATTTCATGATACTGGAGATAGACTTAAGATCTCCCACATACCAGGCAAGTGCTCTATCACTGAGTCACATCCCTGATCCCTAGTTTTAATTTGTAAAGACTAGGATGAGTTATTCTTTTGAATATGTGAAAATCATAAGATAGTTATAAAAAGCAGCTTAAACAGTTTCCTTTCATGAAGTTCAGCTGTATTATCTAGAAAATAAATTTTATTTTTATAGAACTATGCGCTTTAAAGGTTGTGGAGCATAAAGAAAATGACTTGAGGGCCCAGATTCTCATAAAGTTTAGTGAAAGTTTGTTGGAACTTCCAGAGCAGTCTTAGAATTGCTTTGTCTCTTTCCACTGTGTACCAAAACTTCTTAAGAGGAAATGTCTGAGTTTAAGAGTGCAGAGATAGCAATCCTGTTGCAATTTTTGGCATTTCATTACTTGGAAATCTGTCCAACTCCTTTCTTTCTTTCTTTTTTTTGTATTGTAACACATAGTATTTTTATACACCTTATTTTAATCCAGTCACTCCACTACATTGGAAACTTCTTTTAAGGGGAAAAACATCCATCTCCCCTGGGTGGCTTCATGGTCTTTGATTCTACTTGCCAAAGAATCAAATAAACTAAACCCTGTGAGATCCCCAAGGTCATCTGCTCCTTTGTGCTGGGACATGCAAACACATGTTTGTTCCTAGGCCAATCACTAACCTGTTTTTTAAAAGACTGCCAATGAGAAAGAATCCAGGCTGCTTTCTGTGAGCTGTTGCTTGTACAAGTGCACACTGCAGGACCTTCCCCTCCCCACTCTTATCTCACTCCTCCATTCCCTCCTCTTCCAGGGAACCCTGCCTTAGCTTGGTCTGACCGTCCAGGTCCAGGTGGATTCTTCCCAGAATTCTCTGCAAACAGCCATGATGTAAGGTGAGTAGCAGGTCCTGGATCCTTGTGTCCTGTCACCTAGCTCTGTGTGGATAAGCAGGAGGTGGCGGCATTCCTCATTTTACAAAGTATTTTTCTGACTGAGGAATCTCCAACAAACTAAGCAAACACTTCAGATCCCTTCAACTTCACAAGACTGACATCTCTTCTATGGTTTGCAAACAGGACACTAGAGGGCTCCCAGGGGTTGAAAGAAATAGTTGTTTGAATGAAAACTGACTCTGAATTGCCTTTGCTTTTGGGAACTTAAAATTAAATTTTATTTGTAAATAATCTTTAAGAACACGCCTGAAAACTATGTAGTAGCCACTTGATTTTGCTTTTTGTCAGTTGAAGGCAGCTTTTAAGACTGAGCTGAAATGTTTGAAGTATGAAACACTCTTGATCATGAAATATGCTCCCCTTACATGCCTCAGCCTTTCAAAGTTCTTTGCATTAGAGTCAGGGATTCCATTCTTCCTGGAGCCAAGCGTGGGGCCAGTTGTGTAAGTAAAGTTTTGTCATTTTATTTTTTTTTAAAACTAGTTTCTTCCTCTGTTTAATAATGTGAAAAAAAATGGAATGGGAGATTCTTGTATTTTCTTTCATTCAGCTTTCTTTGGTGAAAAGAAAAGGAATAAAAAGTAATTTGATCTGTGTTGTAATGTGTGTGCCAGAGAGAGAAAGAGAGGAGAGAGTGAGAGAGAGAGAGAGAGAGAGAGAGAGAGAGACAGAGACAGAGACAGAGACAGAGAGACAGAGAGAGAATATAGCTGTTTCCAAGCTCTACAGATATTAATTAAAGAACAGAACATATGTGAAGACAATTTGTGACATTTTGGACATTTTGGGTAAGAGTTTCTGATTCTGAATTTACTTGCTTGATACTTTTGCCCAAGTACGCAATACAAACCTTTAAAAATCACCTGGGCTAGCTACACAGTTTTAAGAACTATATTGCTTGTTTTAAGTTATTTCTGAAAAAAAGGGGGAGGGAACACGCCATTGCTGGCATTTTAATACTTTGCTTGGAAACAGTTGAAATGGCTCTAGCTGCCAGACACAAAAACTCTGGGATTTTTGCAGCTTGTCTTCATTACTTTAAACTGAAACCGAAGGCATACACCTATCTTGCTTCTGTGTTTCACACTTTATCCTTTGGTGGTGGTATTTATGGAAGGAAAGGGTTACTTTTTCTCTTTCCTCTCGTAGAGGATCTGAAATGGCCTGAGATGATGACTCAGTCAACTGTTCCATTCATTCTCAGAGTCAGCCTTCATTCCTCCTTGCGAAGGCTGATAGGCACTTAAAAGGCTTGCTGTGGCCAGAGTCCAGTGCATTCGCAGCGCCTGCAGCGACCCTTCCTTTCCACCTCTGCCCACTGAAGACCACTTAGATACTGAAGCAAACGGGGCGGCTGAATTCAGGAAGCCATGCATCAGTCGCCAGGAGCCAGCTGCAGACTTTAAACTGCATTCAGCATGTGGAAGAGGCAGAGAAATGACCTGTCCAGACAAGCCGGGGCAGCTCATAAACTGGTTCATCTGCTCCTTGTGCGTCCCGCGGGTGTGTAAACTCTGGAGCAGCAGGCGTCCCAGGACCCGACGGAACCTCCTGTTGGGCACTGCCTGTGCCATCTATCTGGGCTTCCTGGTGAGCCAGGTTGGCAGGGCCTCCCTGCAGCACGGGCAGACAGCCGACAGGGGACCACCTGGCAGCCGCAACACCGCCAAGGTACCCTTCCCTGAGATTCCGCTGGATGGTACCCTGGGCCCTCCAGAGTCCCAGGGCAATGGGATCACACTGCAGTCCAACGTGGTGTACATCACTCTACGCTCCAAGCGCAGCAAGCCTGCTAATATCCGTGGCACAGTGAAACCCAAGCGCAGGAAGAAGCACGCAGTGGTGTCGGTAGCCACTGGACAGGTGGCTGTCGTTAGACCATCCTTAATGCTGCAGGAAGCTGCAAGGGCAGCGGATGCCGCAGTTCCTGGGTATGCTCAAGGACACCTGACCTGGGTTGGAGAACGACGCTGGAGGCTAGTGCATAATCCTGGAGTCCGAGCTGGGGATTCAGACTTGCAAGAGGTACAAGAGAGCAACATCAGGATCTACAGTGGGAGAGCTCCCTCGTGGCTGAGCAAGGACGATATTCTCAGGATGCGACAGCTGGCTGATGGTGCAGTGGTTAGCGTCCAGCCAGCCTTCTCTAAAAGTGGTGCTCACTTGCTGGTGCTGGAAGGGAGCACTGCAGACTCTGCGCCTGGCTGTGGGCCTAACCCCTGTGGGCTGCTCAAGCAGCCCCTGGATACAAGTGAAGTGTTTGCCTTCCACCTGGACAGAATCCTGGGCCTCAACAGGACCTTGCCATCTGTGAGTAGGAAGTCAGAGTTCATCCAAGGTAACAGATCCACACGCTTATTTGCAGGTGCTAGGGATTCGGGTTCATTTTCTCTTTTTCCTCACTCTCTTTTTCTAAATGACTCTTCTCCACCCACGTTTCCCATTTGGGCAGCAATAGCAGCGTCTCTTTCCATACACGTGGCACTTTATTTTCCCAGCCTGGGAATGTGGGAGTTTCAGTGAATCACTGTGCTGGACATGCCAGAGTAGTCCCATACTGTGGGCTCTCACATTTCCTTCCCTGAGGTTTATTAAATCTAAGTAAAGCCAATGGCTATTTGCATGATGAGGAGAGGAAGCCAGGGTGGAGGCCCAGAACTTGCTGAAAGCCAAGCATACTATTACAGGTTTCCATGGAAGCAGGACTTCCTTCTTTGGGTGTTTTTTAAGAGTAAGAGGAAAGTTTGTTATCTTTCTTCAGCAGATACGATCTTTGTAAGAAGTTCAGATAGAACCAGAGCATGCTAGAGGCAATCTCTTTATTTCTTCTCATCACTAATGGATTCAACCTCTTTATTTAATACTAAGGAAAATGAGGTAAAAATAGTCAATGTGTTAGATATGTATAATAACTAGCTATGTGATTTATTCAAACTTCATGAGTGTAGTTTATTGAGCCTGATTTCCAAAACTGTTTCTTTCTGGAACACAAAGGTTTGGTTAGTGTCCAGGGTATATAGCCACTTACTTTGCACAAGGTCCCAGTGCTGGTCTGGGGAAAAATCATGTCACATAGAGGGCAGACCCTGAATAGGGAGGCTCTGCTAGGGTTAGAATCCAAGGTATACTCAGAATCATGGACTTGTGCTTGACATAGAATAATCCAGAAGTTACAAGTATGAATCTAGGCACAAGAGTCTAAAAAGAACCTCAAAGAGATTGTGCACTCACAGGAGACTCCTTTTCTCCCCAATTACAATGAAATTTAGCATTTCACTGAGGGCCTGGGAAGCCTGGAGTGGACCAGATTAAAATTCTTAGGAGCTACTGAGAACCAAATCTAAGGGCTTTGGGATTACAATTGAGTTTTAAGATGTATACTCCTTGAGGTACCACTGTTTACTTACCAATATATTCCTTACTTGTTCATGTATAAAAGGCCTAGATTCACAAGTAGTTTGCAGTGTCTCAAGTTCACAAAGTAACCTGCCATAAGTATGCTGGTTTATTATAACATTTAACTTAATCTTGGCAAATATTAATTTTTACCCAGTGTTCACCTTTGCTAAGCACTACAATAGCTGGTTTGTACGGTTCATGTAATACATGGCTCTGATGTTTCTCACAGTGATGTTAAGAGGTGGGTACTATTAGTATTTCCATTTAGTAGCTGGAGTCTTATTCAGGCAAGGTAATCGGCTTCAACACTCACAGCTAATAAATGGCTTAGCTGAGTTTCAGATGCAGGCCCAGTGCATTTCAGAATATAGCCTCTAACAGCGAACATTGGAGACTATATAATTTACGATCCAGATAAGAACCCCGGGCAGTGAGTGGGGATAGGGTCTGCAGGGCATAGGATTTGCTTTGTGTTGTTTTGTCCTTCATGTGCTTATCACAAAGGCCCCAGAGAGGAGAAGGGGAACCTCTGGGTGTACCCTGAGGCGGGTTCCAGATATGTCTTTTGAACTTCCCAAGGATATTCTTAGATGAATAAAGTACAGGTTAAGAGCTAGAGTTAGGAGCTGAACTGCCTGGAGTTGAAGTTACCAGCCACATAACCTGGAAATGTTATAGCATCTTTCCCCTAAGTTTCCTAAGCTGTAAAGTGTACCGTTTACCATAAGTGGAAAACAGTTCCTGGCACAAAATAAACCTTTAAAAGTATTGGCTATTGCTGTTACTACACTTAGCACAAGAAGTATCAAGTTCATTGAGTAGATTTGAGCCTTCAAGCCTCAAAGATCATTTCTTTATGTGAAAAACCTAGGACTGAAAGTCTGGTCTCATGACTGCTTAATTTGTGCCAGGATTCCTCTTGGCTGTTTGATTCTGTGCCCTGGATTTCTAGCATATTTGAAAATCAAGATTTAGTTTGAAGAAGGGTATGGAATGTTCCTCTTTCCATTCTCCCTTAAGTAGCAGTGGAGAGCAATATGATCACAGTCATGATTCAGTGTGATGAATTAAATTCCTACTCATACCAAATGTCTCCAGTCCTTGCTTTGTTCTCTCTCAGTGTCTTCTCCCTTTAGTTATTTAAAGTCATGGAGTCAGGCCAGTCTCCTCAGGAGCCTATGAGATGACTCACTTTCAGTTGTGATCACTCAGTAGATCATTTTATGGTGTAGGTTGTTAGTGATGCAGAGTATCGGAATGGACCAGTTCAGGATCCCTCTTCATCCACCTGTTTCTATGTGCTTTTTTCTCCTTATTTCCATAGAAGTGTGACTTTTCTTTTTTTTAGAACTTCCTATTCTTCTCTTAGTTCAAACTTAGTTTTGTGTGAGCCTCTCTGAGCTCCCGAAGACGTTCTGTCTAGTTATCCAGAACCTGTGTCTGGCTCATTCTATATCATATTATCATATTATATACAACTGCACTGTGATTATTTGTTTAATCATCTTTTCTTTCCCACTGGTCTATAGGTCTGGGAGGCAGTAATATTTCCTATATTCTTTATTTTTGCATGTATGAATTCTATTGGTGAATGTGACACATAGTAGGTACTCAGTGAACATGTTGAATGAATGTAGAAATTCATTCTTGCCTTGTTCTAGTGGCTCTAAGCAGTAAATCTGTATTTGCTTTCAGTTTCTAATATTCAGGGAAAGTACTAGTATTTTTAGTCCCAAATCTAGGCTGGGATTTTTCTGCAGGATTCCTGGAAAGTTTATCATAGGGTCTGGAGAAATGGCTCAGTGCTTAAGAGCATGTATTGCTCTTCCAGAAGACCCGAGTTTGGTTCCCAGCACCCATGTCAGGTGGCTCACAACCACCTGTGACTCCAGGTCCAGGGGATCTGAATCTGATAGGTGGCTCACAACCACCTGTGACTCCAGGTCCAGGGGATCTGAATCTGATACCTCTGGCCTCCACCTGTGGGCACTTGCACTCATGTGTACGTACTCATACACCCACATACATATTTGAAAATAAGGGGCTGGAGAGATGATTAAGAGGGGCTCAGTGATTAAGAGCACTGTCTGTTCTCCAAAAAACCCAGGTCCGAGTCTCAACACCCATATGGTGACTAATAGCTATCCATAACTCCAGTTTCAGGGGATCTAACGCCCTTTTCTGGTCTCCTTGGGCATTGCATGTATGGGCAGACTTACATGCAAGCAAAACACTCGCACATAAAAAAATGAAAATAAAGATTTAATTAAAAAGATAAAAATAAGAAAAATCTTTTCAAAAGTTTATTGTGGAGGTTAATAAACTGCTTCTGGTAATCTTATAATAGAAATAATAAGACTTTTAGACCTATGCTAAGAGCCATAGGTATGATGTGTTAACTTTACTCTAGCATAATTTAATAATGACTTCTCTAAAGGAGGAACAATAGGATTTGTTTGGATGATGTGGTTTGGTCTAGGAATACATCTTTATATACCCAGGAGAATGAATAATCAGCAAATCTTATAAATAATCTGCCTTAAATGTTGTTTCTGTTCTTTGACTTTTAATTGATGTGTATTAAAATATATTTGTGTCTTCGTACAAAGAAGGTAGCTTATCTCATGGCGAGGCAGATGTCCTATTTGGGTTATCTCCACTAATCTTTCCAGGAATTCTATGCAGTTGGCATTGTTTTCAAAAAACCAAAACCTTAATTTAGAGATGAAAGAAAGGTAAGAAAACCGCTCAGGATCAGACAATGAGAATGAATTCTTGTGGCCATAAAGAATTTAAGGCATTTTTCCTCTTATTTCCAAGTCTCCCATTTTTACCAATCTGCTTCTCTACACAAATTCTTTACGGTTCCACACAGTATATCACTTTTTTCTATACATTTAAACACTATGATCTAGTTGTTTAACACAGTATCACAGGTGTCTAACACAGATGCACACGTACAGGCAGTGCAATCCTCTTTTTTCAAGGGGGCAAGGATCTCTACCATAACTGAGATTTACTGAATGTCACTTTTTAACCAGACACCATTTTTTTCTAAGAACTGAGTTTCCATTATCCTGTTAAATCCATACACAAATTCTCGAAGGTGTATCCTGGTGTCATAGGGCCTTGGGATTCTATGACAGACAATTAATGTGTATGGAAAATGAAGCCTGGAGAAATAAGTACCTTGATTAAAAACATATGAACAGCTGGATTTAAAAGGGATACATGACATTCCTATGGAGATATAAAAGAGAAACTGAATAATTGCTTACCCTCAGTCTCTCATAGTTGAAGTTCTCCATTGATTCAGTCCAAATAGGGTCCCAACTGAAGGTACATCTCATCTTGCATAGGTTTTGTCTTTATAAATACTGGAATTAGAAGATGCACTTAAAATATACCTAACCTACAGAATCATGGCTTTGCCTGTCCCATTTTAAGCATGATCAGGAACACTTGCATTAGCCTATGGGTGGACAATACCATGTAACACAATAAAGGCTCATATATATACAGAGATGGATGTTTCATACACATGATGCAAGGCAAAAATACAAAATACAATATCCAAAAATGCCTGAGACCCAGCACACTGGAGAGTAGTCATTGTTTACTTTCAAGTTCACATGGATGACTGAGGCTCACTGCTGCTACTGACATCATAGGAAAGTATCCTATAGACACTGTAGGTCTGGGGAACAATCAAAACTCAGAATTCACAATATAGTCTCTACTGAATGCTATATTGAAAAGTTGTAAGGTGAGCAATGGTAAGTCAGGGACTTACCAATATACAGCCCATCTGCAGAATTTTATAATTGAAAAAATAATGAGGGAAGTTCAATCATCATTAGAATCGTTAGCTCAGACTACTCTGGGACCAGTACTTGGCTATGCAATGATGAATTCTAAATGGATCTCTTTGCATATAAA